ACCCTCCCCCGCCCCCCCCGGCCCCCCCCCCCCAGCGGCAGCAGCGGCAGCAGCAGCAGCAGCAGCAGCACAGTGGCCACAGGACAGTACCTGATATCATGGAGGAGCTCCTGGAGGATTTTTCTCTCCCACTCCCACACTTTCTTTTTCTGCCTGTTGTGGTGATACTGACTGTGAAAACGTTGTGTTGAACAGGAAGACGTCCAGCGCTGACGCTCCGCTGGTCCAGACTACGGTCACACTGCCCCACGTCATCCTGGAGTCGGTCCCTCTCTACATCCACGCCGGTACTCTGCAGTACATACAGCCGTACACGGTGTGATAGTACAGGGTGTTCCTCGTTTACCAGACTGACTGTTGTTGTGTTTGCTGCAGACGTACCGTCATTCGGACGAGTCAGAGAGTCGCTGCCGGTCTGCTACCACATCCAGAACCGGACCACTCTGGTGCAGGAGGTGGAAATGGCTGTGGAACCATCTGATGCCTTCATGTTCTCTGGACTCAAACAGGTGTGTGAGTGTCATTAGACATGCACCCCCCCCCCCCCCCCCACACACACACACACACCCCACACACACACCCCTCCTTCACAGAAGGATGGAATTCATTTAATCAGTTTTAAAGAAAAAATCCTCCTCGTCAGCTTGACTCCTTCATGGAGTCACATTACTGCCATCTACCGGTAGATGGCAGTAATGTGACTCAGATCTGCTTGTTAAGACCAAAGAAGTCATGAACCGCTGCTCCTCCACGCTGCTCCTCCACGCTGCTCCTCCACAGCCTTTCACATGTAATTGGTGCCACCTGTGTGTGTGTGTGTGTGTGTGTGTGTGTGTGTGTGTGTGTGTGCTGGTGCTCCTGCAGGTGCGTCTCCGTATCCTCCCAGGCTCTGAGCAGCAGATGCTGTACAACTACTACCCCCTGATGGCTGGTTACCAAACACTGCCTCAGCTCAACATCAGTCTGCCACGCTGTCCCCTCACCAACACACACACCCTGAGACGATACCTGCCGCAACACATCTTTGTCAAGGTAACACACACACACACACACACGTGAACATTGTCTCTCTTCAGCCTCAGGGTCGACCACTGGACGCCGCCTCCATCGCCGCAGCCTGAGGACACGGCTGTTGTTGACCAGTGGTTCTCCACAGAGACAAGGAAGGACAAACTGGGACTGGGACACGTCTGAGAGTCACTGAGGGAGAGTCACTGAGGGAGTCACTGGGAGTCACTGAGGGAGTCACTGGGGGCGTCACTGAGGGAGTCACTGAGGGAGCCACTGAGGGAGTCACTGAGGGGGTCACTGGGGGAGTCACTGAGGGAGAATCTGAAGAACGATGACGTCATAATGAACCTGAAACAAACATGTGTGTGAACTGTGATCAACCTGTGTGTGTGTGTTGTCAAGAAAAGAAGATTTGAATAAAGTCAACCAGACCACAACCAGTCGGTCATTGTTTGGTGTTTGCTTTTGCTCTTTGTTTTTCTCTGCTTGTATATAATGAATATACTGTATATACACACGTGGATTAACCCTTGAATAACTGCTCATTATAATGTCTACTGAAAATGAAGGGAGGGACAAAGGAGTCAAAGAACACATGGAAGCATGGGGTGGAAATAGCGCCTCCCTGTGGAGACATCTCACTGAGAGATTTGAGCTGGAAAACATTGAGACTCATGTCTGAAGTGTTGTTTGTTTATGTGGTGGATCAGTGGTTAGGGAAGTGGCCTTGGATCTGGGGGTTTGAGGTTGGAGTGCTGCAGTGATGTGTCACACTGACTAATAACTCACTTTATTTAAAAAGGAACAAAGTAAAGACTTCGGTTGAGTCTTTGTCTTCGTATTTCTTGGAGATTTGATAAAATCTCGTTCGTTTTTTGGTGTTGGTTTTTTGCCTTATCAACCCTACACACTTTAAGTGTATTTGGACCGCACTTCCGTCTCAGTATTATCGCGAGAGTGTCATTTGCTAGCACTAAACCAAGCTGAGACCAATTGACCAACCAGGCGCAACTCTCGTTGAAACCTCGCATCGCGATAATTCAGTGGGAACAGTTTTAAACTGTGGCGGTTTGACAGATTATCTTCCACCAGACGAGGTAAAAAAAAAACCTACTTCTTCACTGATGTTGTGTTCAGGTTTGAAACCCTGGTGTAATCTGGTTTTAATCGTTGTCGTGTTTAAATGTTCAGTTTAAAGTTTCAGTTCTGTGACCTTAGATCGTCAGTTGTTAGAAAATGTCTCCGACGCCATTGTTGTTGACGACGACGAGTTTATAAAAAGATCGACCTTTTGGTCACAGTCAGTGTGTCTGTTTCTCTGTGTTTTTATTTATTTTAGATTAAATAAAAACGACTAAAGTAACTGAGACAGCAGACAAAACACCGTAATGATAGTCCAGTTACCACCTCCAATGGACAAACTACCCCCCCACCCCTCACCCCTGACCCCACCCCTCAGGAAGTCAAATGTTTATATATGTCGTTTTTATAAGAATAGAAAATCAAAGTGGAGAAACACGTGCGATGTTGTGGTGGAGAACTTAACTTGGTCGTCAGTATGAAATGTCTGTGGACCAGACCCCGACGTTACAGCAGTAACAGCAGCAGTAACAGTAGCAGTAACAGTAACAGCAGCAGTAACAGTAGCAGTAACAGCAGTAGCAGTAACAGCAGCAGTAACTGCAGCAGCAGTAACAGCAGCAGTAACAGCAGCAGCATCGTTACACAGAGGCAGTAGAAAATGGCGTGTAGTCGGAGTAAAGCCAGAATCAAATGTTCATGTAAATGTACAGACACTATGGATGAAGAGCATCAAATGTTGCTGATCAGCAGTTGGTCTGAGGATCACGTGGTTCTGGTCTAGTCCTGTTCTGATTGGTAGGTAGTTGTATCTCTTCTGTCGTACATTTAACGCCGTTTCCCCGCAGACGTTCCCTCCAGATGGCAGCAGAGGTTCAGGTTGAGCGGCTCCACAGCCAGCTGAGGGAGACGCAGAAGCAGCTGCAGCAGGCGGCCCAGGCCGGTCTGGACCTCCTCCAACAACAGACCCAACTAGAGAACAGACTGGAAGGGCAGAGAGTGGAAATGACCAACGCCCTGGAGGTGGGACTTGACTGTTGTTTACCCCCCCAGGTGTCAATCATACACACTCCCCGTTATGTGTCACGTGTTTACGACAGGCCCTGGAGCAGGACAAGTACTCACTGCAGAAGGAAGTGGATTTAAAGACTCGGATGTTGGAGTCACTGAGGTCGGACTACGACTGTCTGAAGAACCAGCAGACGCAGCATCTTCTGGAGCAGCAGCAGCATCTGGAGAGGAACCACAGCCTGGCCGTCAGTGAGCTCAACAACAAGGTAGTGTCTGTAGTTGTCACCTCCACACACACCAGGTGGACGCAACACCGTCTGTCTGTCTGAAGGGTCATGTCAAAAATTAGGAAGAGTGTTGACCCAGGGTGGTCGTGGTGGTTGTTGGTGGTTGTTGATGGTTGTTTATGTCGTGGTTGTTGTTGATGGTTGTTGATGTCGTGGTGGTTGTTGATGGTTGTTGATGGTTGTTGATGTTGTGGTGGTTGTTGGTGGTTGTTGATGTTGATGTTGTTGGTGGTTGTTGATGGTTGTTGATGGTTGTTGATGTTGTGGTGGTTGTTGGTGGTTGTTGATGTCATGGTGGTTGTTGATGGTTGTTGATGTCGTGATGGTTGTTGGTGGTTGTTGATGGTTGTTGATGGTTGTTGATGTCGTGGTGGTTGTTTATGTTGTGGTTGTTGTTGATGTCGTGGTGGTTGTTGATGGTTGTTGATGTCGTGGTTGTTGTTGATGGTTGTTGATGGTTGTTGATGTTGTGGTGGTTGTTGGTGGTTGTTGATGTCATGGTGGTTGTTGATGGTTGTTGATGTTTGTTGATGTCGTGGTGGTTGTTGATGGTTGTTGATGTCATGGTGGTTGTTGATGGTTGTCGGT